TATTAAGAAAGTTATAAAGTTTTCTGTCTTCATTAGTAGTTTCCTGGTAACGGATCCTAACAATGCCTTCTGCTTACGTCCTTACCAGCTGGCGAATATCCTACAACTAAGTCACTGCTACAGTTATTTAATTCCCAGACTGGTGGCCATCTCACATCAACCACCTAGTCTTCTTTTCCCTGACTAACTGCAGCTCCCAATTTGTCCCGCTTATAACATCTCGGCATGGATCGCATAGAAAACACCGTTCTTCACTGTTGTAGTTCAATCGTTTCCTTGATAACATGTGTGTCTGCGAAGCCGTTACTCAGCAACGGTTCATGTATATTTATTTCGCAGTCGTTGCCCAGCAACGGATCTACATGCTACAATATACTACTTACACATACAGAACTTGACAGAACAAGCCAATATAGTAAATCTGAGTGCTAAACGACTAACTTCGATTCCAGACTGGGAACTTATTCCGCTCGCGATCGCGTCCAAGCAGTTATGATGCGCATTTTGCCGACTGCCCAACGGGTACCTGGGGTTCATTCCTAGAGGGCAAAGCGGACAGGGCGTCAAGTCGACTATTCGTCCAGAACCGATGTTAAGAATACATGGAGTTCTACCTCTGCTCCATTGGAGTTTTCATAGTGTGATGCTGCATTAAGAGCTAGAACTTCGCCTTTTACTTTCTAACAGCACTTCCATCAATGTCGTTTGCATTTCATTCCACTTTCTAATAATATTATCCGCATGTGAGAGCAAGACATCTGCCGAGAGGTGCATAGAATGAAGTTTGTTTTAAGAAAGGAAAATGAAGGGCTTTAAGGATTGAACGAAATAAATTGTATAGAACGTATTTAAGTATGTGTACAAAAAGATTTTTTCCGTTCGGCTGATTTGTCCCACAAAACATTTCTTTCACTTTGAATGCTAAAAATTGGCATCCTTGCATTCACATTGCCACTACTTTTGAAAGTGCTGGATGATGCTACAGCTGAATATGCCAAATCCAAAGAATGTTCACTGTATTATCCAAGTTTAGATCCGTTAGACTACAACGTTTTGAATGAACTTAAACAGACAGTGCACAAAAAACAGGAAGAATAATTTCAGTCTCTGTAGTTATTGCAACAATGTGGACTCTTGTATCGAATAATCACAGACGAATAGACACCGATGAAGGGAGAAAGAAGAATAATGTGTAATCCAAGAAAAAAGGACTTCTATTCGTCACAATTTATGTTTAAAAATGACCGAATCATTAACAGAATGTCCATCTTCAACATCCTAAAATGTAAAATTTGTCACCTGTATAACGAATTAGTCTAATTAAACCGCTCTGCACACATACAGCCCAGTGATGAGAGTGACTATAGATGGAGTTTGGATTGATAATTGGATTTATTGAACTCTTATACATCCGTGACTAGAAGAAATTACAATTGTTTCACCAATTCACACAATTTACAGTTCACTAGAGCACGTCTTTTCAGTCTGCTGTGTCTTCATCAGTGTTCTGGTAACGGCTTTCAACGGCGGACGTTCCCCTTTCTCTGGGTTCCCGAACTGTCCCGGCCTTTGCTACCAGCTTCTCAAAGCAACAGCTCACAACTGAACCCCAGCGGTTATCCAATTAACTCACTAACTCACCAACGAACTCAACTCAGCCCCACCAACCGACTCCACTCCACTTCCTGACTTCTCACTAACTCTCCTGCGTATAACATCTCGGCACGGACCGAGTAGAAAACACCGTTCCTCTGTTGCAGTGAGCTTGTTGCTTAGCGATGGCGTGACGTATTCCACTGTTGCGTGCGCAGCCATCGGCAAGGACCACGCAGAAAATACCATTCCTCTGTTGTTATTTACGAGCCATTACTTACCAACGGCTGTAGTATAGTTGTCCTTTGCGCGGTCGTTGTAGAGACACGGGTCTACATTCCACAATATGTTCCATAGAGATTACATGAATCTCGTTAAAATCTGCAGCGTCGTTCATTTTTATCATTAAAAATGTTATATATTTGCACCACCATACAGTGTGGGAAGAGTTATGTTTCAGTATGGATTGTCAAGCTGTTTAATGCTCTGGAGCATCAAGATCATCTAAGTTATACCTAAAATTAGTTCCTACCTAAAAGAAACACACCGCATATGATTACTGCTTTTTGGGGAGCCGGGATAACGCAGTCGGTATAGCGACTGGCTAACAGCTGGAAGACCGAAGGGTCGGAGTTTGAGTCCCGGTACAAGTAAGATTTTTCTCCTCTCAACGTCGTCCATACCAGTTACAGGGCTGACCCAGCCCCTTATCCGGAAGCTCTTTTCCTGGAGGTAAAGCGAATGTGGCGTGAATCTGACCACAAGTCTCTATTTAGCCCCGAGGTCAAAAATGCGTTATTCTATACATCCACTCTACCATACGCTTTCATGGAGTAGTGCTTAATTAAGCACAGATACAACTTTACCTTTACTGCTGTTTAGGGAAAAAAATATGTCTTAAAATTATATGAAACACATAAAAGATCCGTAAGAAAAATCCAGAGTTCGTAATATTAAAGCAGGTGACGCATGTAGTTACATTGTAACTTAAAAGGTTACATGTAAAGTAAAGTGCTTAGACTAACAAGTTGCCGAGTGCGTGGTTCACAGGCCACGGCAACACCATACTGTGCAGAGTGCTGTGCTGAATTCAATGAGTGCGCGTGAACAATAAGATGAAACTCTTTCTCAATAACTGTTTATATGGACCCTCACCTTTATTGCTGTTGCTTTCAAGTTGAATTTAATTTCAAAACCAATTCACGGGACAACACTCAAATGCAATCATTATCAGTTAGAATATTATGCAGCGCTTTTACATTTGTTAGTTGTACTTTTAATCAGGACGCTCTATCAACTGCTACATTATGTAAATGCCAAAATATATTTTAATTGTCTCACAAACTTCGCCTTGTCTTTGAAGTGTACGTTTAAACTGAGTAAGACATAAGCTACTAACCATTAAGAGTGGGGGCCTGAGGATGCCTGGAGGCTTAACTATTAGACCCCCCATACCCTTCAATGTGTATCGGCACAGGGATATCTAATGCTCGCATTTGTAGAAGCAGGGCCTTCAATGAATATCCATATTGTGGTCTTCTGGATTATAACACCATGTAATCTAGTAAACAGTACACTCCTTCGGATCCTTGGCACCAATGTACCAGACTCCACGGCAATATAACCAGAATAACCACAAATGAAATCTTCGCTGCCTTCAAGACTTCAAATTTTGCTTCAGCGAAGAATCTACTTTCAACGTTTCTGAAGCCTTCAGACTTTTGGAGGCGTGTGACTTCTGAGTGACTTGCCTAGATCCCGAACAAGAACGTTTCCTTCTCAATTTGCACGTGGAATGAAGGATGGTAAACACGACTGTCGCAGCTAACAGTAATTAATTCTCAAACATCTCTGATATTTTCTCTGGAATTCAGAGAGAAGTCTCTTCGACTGAGATCCCTATAAATCTCTGATGCATTACTGAAATGTAAAACTGGTTCTGAACCGTATTCCACGGTTCTGTTGATTAGGATCTTTTCTATCCTGAAGATGGAGGCGATACGTTCCTCCGAAACGTTGTTTCACATAAGATCTGCACGCGCCACATCCCAGAAAACGCCTTTCTTCATAGTCAACGCCGTGAGAAACTCAAATCTTAAACTTCAATATTTTTTGTATTAGAAAGATATATACGTATCAGATATGCATGTAATTTTATCATTACTGCTGTATTTCTTTATCATTTACTGGTGATAGGTTTCAATAAAATACGGCAAGTAGTTGAAGGTCTCGTTAATTTTTATTGCATTTTCCCGATATCCCATTTAGCTATACTATCATGCCTGGTTTTATATTCTGTTGATGCTAAAATCTTGCAACCTTACATAACATATACCCATATTTTCTACATAAGTTCGTTGTAAATAATGTATTATTAGAAGACATTCCACATGTCATACATATACCTTGTTTTACATTAGTATATTCCCTCGGCCCTGCCTGCACAAATCCCAGTACTTTGTATCTTAATCCACAGCTTCAATCTTATGACCTTCATCAACTGAAAAATCTACTAATAATAGACATCTATGCTCAATATTCGAAGTTCTATATTTATCGGAACTAAACTCCACTTTCCCGCTCACAGTGGTCACGCGGTCTAAGGCATGAACCGTCTTCGCCAGTTCCCATTACTGGGATCGTTGGTTCAAATCCCACTCAAGGCATGAATAAATGTGAGCGTTTATTCTGTTTTTGTGTTGCTCTGTGTCTAGGTAGTGGCCTTGCGACGAGCTGATCCCCTTCCAAGGAGTCCTACCGTGTATTGATTATGAAAGTGAAAAAGCGGAGAAGGTCCACAAAGACTGTAGAGCCACAGAGAGATAAACTCTACCTTGATAACATGCGAAAAATATTCCACTACACTTATAAGATGTGATATCCGTTTTTAATGCCTGTATATAATTTGATATCATCAATGTTACTATCATTCACTCCGAAGAATGTTACGATTTTGCGACGACCTATACTGAGGCCAAGGAAAGCAGACGCATGGACGGTGGGGGAATTCAGTGCTTGAGAGATCCCAATCTGATTCTATTGTTGAATTACTCTCTCTAGCCATCTCTGGCCTATGCCAACCAACCAGAAACGCTTGTCGATGGCGAGCGACTCGACGACCAACGGGGAATAAGATTGAGGGGGAGGCGTTACAGCTTAAGAGAAACGCGGTAGGAGTAAACTCGATTCATGGGGCTTCATTCCGCTGCCTCAGTATAACAGATTTAATAAAATATGTAACACTGCAGAAGTATGAATAATTTTATTTTATCAATTTAGGTTAAGGACTTTATTTAATGTTTTCCCTGACCATTATTCACTTATTCCAAAATATCCATCCTTAAGTATCATCTTGAGAGGTGAGGGTCCATATAAACTTTTTATTAATACGTCTTATCTTCCCTTACCCTCGCGATCTGCCTTTAGGTAAAGCCGCCCCATCGGACTTAGGTTGGGTCGTGTCTCTGACACAAGACACTCTGTAGGGGATGAAAACACACATGTAATTATATGGGACCAGCTTTCTCCTGCACCACTGACTTCAACGTAGTGGGAATAAAAGTACATATCACTAAAAAAACACCGTCGATCGCCATAAATATTAATATGAAGCAATTCATAAGCAAACGGGACTTCATTTATAATCATACATAAAGAAAATAAGTCTTCTCGGGTGACAAGCAGTGTTAGTATGGAATAAAATTCAGACTTTTCAATTATTCATCATCATCATCAGAAACATATGAAGTAGTCAACAAACAGCCTACAATTTCACGGAGGGTAAAGTTAACGTTAGCTAACAGCAGATGTTTCCCAGATTAAGCAACACTGACTGTGATCCCAAGTAGTATGGGTGACCATCTGACTGCGTGCACTGTAGGCCCGTTCCCGAACAAGCATCCGGGCTCCGAAAGCAACTGCACATGTTTACATATAACAACAGCTCCGTCAGCCATAAATCAGTTCTTGATGATTTAGGCAGACAGTGTCTGAACCGCTGGAAACTCACTCCATACTGACATGGCTGATCGCCCGATTGCATCCTGACACCATGAAAGCCTCAAATCTTATACAACCAGAAGCAGAATTTCGATTTCTTTGTCCGGTATAGCACTGCAAATACACACACACACACAAAAAAAAGTAAAATTTAAGGATTACATAGTACTTAAATCTAATTAAATTAATATGAAGATATTCAAAGTTCTGTCTTATCTTATTTCGAGCTCTGAGATAAATAACATTTAAACAAGACAAAACTCACTCAATAGATAATAGTCTGTATCTTAAAGAGCTGTTACACACAGAAAATTCAGAACTGAGTTACATCAGTCAGTTCTTGAAAATGTGATTATAACTATTTTATTACAGTTCTACTGTCTTACAGGCATATCGGCGGCCAGTATATAGCTGAGTTATACTTTTAGTATTTTAATAACATTTTATACTTTTAACAACATCGTAAAATATTTAAAGTGGCACTTTTAGTGAGAAACACATTTTAGATGTCTTTTATATAAAACTATTGTTGCATTATTGACGGGTGCTTTAATAATAAGGATAATGCTTGAATGCAACGGGATGCTGAAATATAATATAGCTGAGTGTTTGTTGACACAGCCAAAAACTTTATGAATTCCTAGAAGAAGGAAACAGAACAGAATAGCATACATAACTTAAAATACTTTGCATACGGAATATTATAGTAGCTTAAAGTAGTACAATGAAGCGTGCAATCCAGCACCCAACAATTCTTCAGAACATTTCACGTATGTTACAGATCTTATGATCTGGATAGTACTAACAGAAGAACTGAACGGTTTCGAGCACGTCCAAACAACACAATGCAAGAATGAATTGTCTTACATTAGCGATGCATCTTGTTTCTTTTGTGAAACATTAGGAAACGAATGTCTTAATTAGCACTGAGTATATATTATTACTCATGTTACAGTAAAATGACAATGTCATTTACATTCTTTAGATGTGACCAATCAAATATTATATGCAGAAGACATTATGGAGACTTTCTAGCTATAGCATGCACAACATATATACATACGTTCATAAAATAGGATGATTTATGACACTGTAGCCTAGGTTTCTTTTCTACGTACATATATACACCACATCTCAGTAGTTTTAATGTAAGTACATAGGTGGAAACTCGGTGTTCTATACTCAGCTGTCAGAAGGACAAAGATGCCACTTAATTCAACATTTTAACGAATAATGTACGGAAGAATATAAAGGCATGAGAGACAAAGGGAGGGTGAACGGTAATAAACAGGGCCTGGATTTTGATGACCTGAAAATATTTAAAAAATGACCGAAAAAATCCAGAAAAATGACGTAAAATATGACCTGAAAATGTAATATGCAGGACTCAGATTTTTATGACCTGAAAATATTTAAAAAATGACCTATAAAATGACAGAAAAATTCAGAAAAGTAACCTAAAAATGTAATATGCAGAGCTCGAATTTTTATGGCCTGAAAATATTTTAAAAAATCCAGAAAAAAGACCTAAAGGAGAAAGAACACTTCGCTTCCATGGTATTCATATTTCAGAAAACATATGAAGAAAAAATCCCTAAAATGGCCAAAAATGACAAGAAATACCCTTAAACGTCCAAAAAATTTACCAAAAAAAAATACCCCAAAAATGAAAAAATTACCTTAAACCTAAAAATGTAAAAAAATTACCTACAAAATTTACATTTCTGTAACCAGCAGCTCATATCCGAGAGTTATATATTTAAGAGCATCGCATAGGATACAAGGAAAAAAAGATCAAATGTCGTCAAAATCCGGGCCCTGGTAATAACAAGGAAACGATTCCCCGTTGAACTTCAGTGGACTTTCTCATTCGGAAGGCAACATTTTTTTCATAGCAATTTCCCCGTGTGTTACTTTAGCGATGATGTATCACTGCAGACGTAACTGTCACGTAATAACGTATTTTTGAGACTTGGCTTTCGCAGGCTACGAATATTCATACTATGGTCTCCTGTGTTATGGCACCGTGCACTCTGGTAGGTGGTTACTAACGTTTCGGATGAACATACCACCTACAATTCCAACGTACAGTCGAAACGTTAGTAACCACCAACCAGGCTACACGGTGCCATAACACAGTAACATGAATAGTTCCTTTGATTTCATTATACTGACGGATTTTAAAAAAATGTTAAGAAATAAAATATGGTGATACGTAGCCATGCGCTTTAATGTATCACATATGTTCATTACCTTGATAAGTAATTTACGAATATCTTTACCTTCAGTTTTGGTTTATTTCGTATATTTATTCAATGAGTGTACTGGTGCGTGCAGGGTGTTGTTAATTCATTTAAATACCAAACAGTAATCAATGTAGCATACTTCAATTTGTATATCTAATACCGTATTGTGCCTCACACTGAAAGAGGGTTGACAAAGAGCTTCCCTGCGTGTCTGTCCTTCAATAACAACTGCATTATGTGACAGCGCGTGCAATCAAGAACGCCAAAACACCAACACTGTGCCTTACTAATGGATGAACTCTGCCGAGAGACGTGAAAACAGACCATAAACACCGGAAGTTCGAAGAGAATTCATAACATTTCCTAAAATAACATGGGTCCTACGTGGCGGGCAGCTCTACGGCCCCTCCTCGCCGCTTTACATGATCTCATTCACCAGCACCTCGCCGCCGGCGCGGCTTTTCGTTGCCACTACCGTCTGGCACGCCTTGCAAGATCAGACCACAACTTCAGTTTCCAGCACTACGATCAATGACGCAACCTCCGAATTGCTGTTCCACTTGTGAGCTAACATGCATTTCTGTTTTCCCTTCAATATGGGAATACTGTTACCACATCCCTTTCGTAAACCGTGGTTAACGCCATATTCCTGAAGAATAATAATAATAATAATAATAATAATAATAATAATAATAANGAATCCTGAAGAAGAGGCAGAAGAAGAAGAAGAAGAAGAAGAAGAAGAAGAAGAAGAAGAAGAAGAAGAAGAAGAAGAAGAAAGGACTGGCACGACATTCTCCAATGGCGTTGTCACTTTGAAATGTGCTGTTATTCTGCTTATCTCATTGGCCTTGATGTTCCTTTACTAGAGATATCAATAAATTTTTGGAAAGCTTACCACATTACTCCTATAACCTATATTACACAGCCCAGAGTCAGAACTATTTCTCTCGTGTGTAAAATTCGTTAACTTGGTTATTTACCGACGCCGTTAATATCAAGATTATACAGTATCGATGACAATGATTAATGAATGTGGAGCGGTTGGCAGAACTAGAAATGGCAGGGGAAACCGAAATACCAGGAGGACATTTGCCCCAGCGTAACTTCGTATTTTCTCTCTTGGATAAAAATTCACATCAAAAAATGCTTTAGATAAAAGTTTCAGGTCTTACTTCAATTTACACATATTCTGTCATGAATTAACTTTTCGTAAGGTAAGGTAAAGGTAAACTTGTCCCTGTGCTTAACTAATTAAGCACTACGCCATGAAGGCGTATGGGGAGTGGATGTATAGACCCACGTTTTCTTGACCTCGGCACTACTTGAGATAAAACCGATTATTCCTTTTTAATAATATACTTTACCAAATGAATGTATACAATTAATTTTGTGATAACCATTGTATTTTTATAAGGTTTAATCTATTGTGAATTTGCAGAATTACGTATATTATTACGCGTTATACTCGTATTACACCATGCACTACGTACCGAGTAGAAGATTACGCACTGTAGCGTGACTTGAGTTTTATAATTCCGGAGTTCCCCTGTTGCTCGGGGGTGTATGATGCAAACTTCATACGCAGTTAGCTAGGGACTTCCCAGTGGTATAGCCAATCAGAATTGCTAGTTACCCAGTGTGACACCATACTGGCAACAGCTTGATATCCTACACAGTTCTTTGTTTCAGACAGACGCGTCCTGGCTCTCGAATAAGTAAGTGCGTCACGCGTCTCGCCTGTAACAAAGGGCTACACCAGTAAAAGTTTCAGACATAATTCAACCATGTAACTCGTGCATTATACACGTAATAAAGTGTCAAGTGTTTGTGTGATTGTTGTCTTTCGTTTGTGGACTCTGTTGTTGGAGCCAAGGCCCACTTAACGACCCTGAGATATTGTGTTCACCAATGCGTGAGCTGGCGCCCAATACTTCGAAGTCATTGTTAGATGACTTATTGAGAACAGCTGCGTTCACCTTAACCCAACTCTGTGAGTGGAGAGGAGTGCGGCGGTGAGTGGTCAACTTCAAGCCCCGGGGAAAGACATTTGCGGATTCGAATAGCACCACATTCTTTTAAAGCAGCCAATACAGCAGTGAAGTTATAAAAACAACGAAAACAGTAGGCTGGGGGAGGGGGTTGCTTTTACATTTTGTCACTGAAAACTATGATCGGCGTAATCAACTGCTCTGAAAGGAAGAAAGGTCAGCAAGGCACTGGGCCAAACTCTG